TCGACGGCACATAACAACAACAACAACAACAATACTTTATTGTTACATTCTCAGAAATAAGAGGTTAAGGAGGGCAGTTAGATACTTAACCAAAAAACCCCAACCCAGATGTCACTGAGTTGATTCCAACTCATGACGGCCCCAGGTGTGTGAGCGCCAAACTGTGCCCACAGGGTCTCTGACTTTTACAGACATAATTCACTTTTGTTGTTGTGGAGACGACACGTGGCAGAACATAACACCACTTCAACACTTTCTACGTGCCCAGTTCAGTGCCAGTGTGTGGTTTCGGTTTTCTCACGAAGGACCGAAATCAGGACGAGCAAAGAGAGGCCCACAGGGCAGGGTCTCGGGGGGTCTGGGAGGACCCCCAGCTCGGAGCTTCCGTGCCCCCTCCACACTCTCGGGACAGTGATGTACTGTCAACGAGGGATTTCACTGCAGAGCACAGCACGGTGGTGTCGGACCTCGTCTAACTTCAGGTGGCGAGATGACAGTCATCATTGGCATCAGCCCAGAGCTGGTTCCTGTGAGGTGGTCAGACATCCCTCCACCCTTCAACCCTTTTTACCAATTCTGGCTTCAATAATCCATTGAGTGTCCACACACAACTCACAGACAGTACTCACGACTCTGCGATTTATTACGGAAGCAACAGCTTACAATTCAGGAACAGGATCAACTTGGAAGCTAACAGGAACCACTCAGGATATATACTTCCCTGATCAGGATGGCAATGGGTTAATCTTCATGGGAACAGGTCTCCAGGTCTTTCTCTCATGGAGGTGCTGGATGTGTTTGAACCACCAACCCTTCCGTTAGCAGCCAAGTGTTTACCTTGACATATCACATAACTTGATATATCCTGTTACCATCCAGTTGATTCCGACTCAGTGGGCCTAAAGGACAGAGTAGAACTGGCCCGTAGGGTTTGCAAGGCTGGAAGTTTCACAGGCAAAGACTGCTACCTCCTTCTCTCAAGGTCAAACGGTCGACCTTTCAGTAAGCAGCTGGGCGCCTAACCACTGTGCCACCAGGGCCCCTGCCAACTTGACATATGTTTTACTTAATTCTCTTTCTATTGTCTGACCAGACACGAGACTACAAGCCCTGAAGGCAGGGGCTCTTGGCTGCTCTCATTGTGTCTCCAGCACCTTGAGACTACGGAGACTGTATTAAGTGCTCAGTGACTATTTGCTGAAGGAATGAATGAATCAACGAAGGGGAAATACACCAGGGAATGAGGATAAGTACTGGGCAGGTCCCAACAGCCCAGAAGGAGGTGCCCCTTAAGGTGGGTGTCTTCATTCTCTAGCGCTGCTGCAACAGAAATAGCACAAGGGGGTGACTTTAACAAGTTTATTCTCCTGCAGTTCAGCAACTCTAGGGCACAAGCTCTAGAGGAAGGGTCGGTCTCTGTCTCTCTGTCTCTCTCTCTCTATCTCTGGGCTCTGGGGGAAGATCCTGGTTCCTTGGTGAACTTCAGGTGGGGTGGCCAAATCTTTCCCTATCTCTGTTTGCTAATCGAACTAATCCGCTCAATTTATCACGCAAAGAGGTGGAGCTACACCAACACAGGCTCAGTC